CAGACAATTGAGTAATATTTGTGGCAACTGCCACTTTCCTGAGGATATAAGTGCAATGAAAGGGGTTCCTATTCACTTTCATTCTCATAATTATAATTCCTTATTGCACCATCAGGAAAGATTTCTCTTTTTTCTCTTAGTAGAATAACAGAATTGGAAGAGATTTTGAAAGTATTTTAGTCCAACCCCTTGCTCAAGTAGAGAACCTATACTATTTCAGACAAATGGTTGTCCAAATTGTTCTTAAAACCTTCCACTGATGGAGCACTCATCAGCTTCTGAGGGCAAGCAGTTCCACAATTTCATAGTTGTCAGGAAATTTCTCATGTCTAGGTTAGTTCTCTCCTTAATTAGTTTCCATCCATTGCTTCTAATTCTGCCTTCAGATACTTTGGAGAATAGGCTGGTCCCCTCTCCTTTGTGGCAGCCCCTTAGATAATGGAACAGTGCTATTATGTCACCCCTAGTCCTTCTTTTCATTAAACTAGACATACCCAATACTTACAACCGTTCTTCATGTTTTAGTTTCCAGTCCCCTAGTCATCTTTGTTGCTCTTCTCTGCAGTCTTTCTTTACAACTTTTTTATATCATGGCAACCAAAACTGGATGCAATATTCTGGATTTTTCATATTTTCTTTCAGAAGTGAACATGCTTAAGAAGCTTAACGATCCTTTTTTGCATTTATTTAAGACAATGCTGTCCCTTTGTATAAATTTAAAAACGAAACAAAAAGAATACTGACCAACAGTAAAAGTCGACATTTTATTTTCAAAAAGCCCGCGATTAATAAATTTAAAAAGGGGAATCCAGTAAGCAACCGGCTGGATTACTCATACCAACATTGCCCAGACTAGCGGGAAATACAGTAAAAGAACAAGCGGGGACCCGCCCACAAGCCGGATCTCAAACCCGTCACGCTTGAAGAATATTTTAATTCCAATAGAGCACCAGCTCTTTCTGCACCAATCCACGGGGGAGAAGGAATCAGCCAATAACATTTTGACTGAAGACGAACGTCCGTTATAAAACTAATAGCTAAGGCACGTGGGGGGCTTGAGCCGTTGGGCTGTTTTTGTTCGGAATTAGAACGTTTCAAGTAAGATTATTTCTGCTGGGTCTGCCCCAAATTTCTAAGCTTTCCCTTTTGCTGTTGAAGTGTGCTGCTGCATGAGGTGACACTTACAGAAAGTTATCGGAAATAGAAAGTGGTTTGTAAATGACGTGAATGAGGAAAAAAAAACAACACATCACGAATTTTAGTAAGCATTTTCCAGAAGGTAACTTGGTTAAATTACTTCGCTTTGATATTTCGTGTTTCGCCATGTCTGAAAAAAATTAATCTGCTGTCTGTGGCCCAGATTGTCGTTTAGTATTGATGGGCTTTTTACCAAGCCTGTATCTTAATACATACTGCCTTTTATGGTCAAGCCTTAAGTTGTTCTTAAAGGCTTTACCAATATTTTCAACCATTTGCTTGATTTAGAAAAGGCTTTTCTCGGGTTTAGGAGAATTTTTTATCTTTTGGAAGCTTTTGAGAGGACCTTAAGTTTCTACGTAGGCCTTGATTGTAGTGCAAAGACAAATTGATACTAATAAAATTTGCCTGCTATTAGGTACTTTTCTAAAACTTGGAAAATTAAGTTACAGTCTGTCTTGTGTTTCAGTGGGGTAAAAGTTTAAATTGTTGGGTATAACTCTTTTTACTACTTGAATATATTGGAGTCATCCCAAACACCTTTACTGATAAGTATCACAATATTTATGACCAAGAAATAATTTAAAGTAAGTAAAACATTTTAAAACCATGATCCTGATCTGTTCAGACTATTTTACACTAACAGGAAAAATGCTGAAAATTGCTGGAATACAAGAGTTGAATGGGCCTTTGGGTGGTCTTCTACTCCAACCCTCTCCCTCCAGCAAGAACCTCTATATCATTCTGGACTCTATATCATTCTGGACAATCTTCTTGAAAGCCTCCAGTGAGGCGAGGCGGTCCATTGATTAATTGTTCTCACTGTCAGGAAATTTCTCCTTAATTCTAAGAAAATGTAATCTCAACCCATAACACCATTGGATTACACATGTTATACAGGAAATGATATATAATATATAATAAAGCTAAACTCCCATGTGGAGCATGGTATGATATTGAATATGAAATCTTTAAAGTACTCACAGTTTGGTCTAGCAATTTAGGAATCAATCTAGAAACCAGTAGACCAGGGGTGTGAAACTGGAAGCATATGGGCTGGATGGGTCACATGCAGGCTACACCCACTCCAGCTCTGCAAAGGGAAAAACCATTGTGAAACGTCACGTGGCAGCAATGTGACGCTGCGAGTTTGATACCCGTGCAATAGGCCATTAATTTCCTCTTTAGACATGAAAGCCAGATGTGTAATTGTGAGCCAGCTCACAAGGTTGTTGTAGAAATAGGAAAAAGTAGTATTAGGTATGTTTGCTGCCTTGGTTATTTTTAAACACAACTCTGGGCTACATATAAAGTATGATATAGTGGACCATGTTCCTTTTAAAGTGTGTATGTAAGAATACTGGATCCAGTCTATGGGGTATTTAGATCTGGCCCGCAGGGCCGGCCTAGAAACAGTGAAGGACTGGCCTGTGGTGCCTCTGCCCATGAAAATGGAGCTAGGGAGCGCTGCATGCGACCTTTATGAGATCCATTTTCTCTGGCATTGCAGCTGAAAATGGAGCTCGGGAGGATTGTGTGTGGCCCTCTGGGCTCTGTTTTCTCTGGCAGAGGGTTGCAGGAGGCCGTTGCAGAAGAAAAGGAGCTCGGCAGCCTGTTTTAGCTGGCAGAGTGCTCAGGTCACCAAAGGCACCCCTGACACAAATGATGTTGAGTTGGCCATGCCCACCCTGACCCCCCCCCCAAGGTCAAACACAACCCTGATGCAACCCCCAATGAAATTGAGTTTGACACTTTTTATGCTTTTTTAATGCATGTCCGTTTGTCCCATTTCTGGGAGATTTTTCACTTTATGAGAGACTTTATTTTGCTTAGTTTCCTATTGACCACACTGAAATGAGCCATGATGGTTAGAATGCAGTATTGCAGGCTGACTCTACTCACTGCCAGGTGTTTGATCCTGATTGGCTCAAGATTGACTCAGCCTTCCATCCTTCCAAGGTCGATAAAATGAGGACCCAGATTGCTGGGGACAATTGCTGACTCTGTAAAGTCCCACAGGATTGGGACTGTTGCTACCGCCATCCCTGCCCTCTGTGTCCCATCATTTGCTTGCCAGCAGCCACAACAGGCCAAACTAATGGCGTGCCCCAGCGTTCGCCCACCCTGCCTGCTGACCCTGCTGCTATTGGAACACTGGAAGATTGGGCTGGCTCAGGCTGCTGATGAGGTAGACAGCTGATGAGGTAGACAGCTGTGCAGCGTGTCAAGGTCGCCTGTCCTTCCCCCGTACCTCTGACCTACTGCTGGGCGTGCTGCACCTGCTGCTGCTAGTCTTGTGGTGGCTCTTCGTCCTCCTGGCTGTGCTGCTCTAGGCTGCCCTGCAGCTTTAGTGGGCAGGAGCTCTATGCAATGGGATGGAGAAGGGAGGGAGAGATCACCCATCCTTTGCACCCCCAAACCCTGTCTTCCCTGGCCACCGAGCCCCTGGCCTTCACCCTGTGTTAGAAAGGCGAGCAAGACATGCAACTCAATGCCACCAGTATGCTTTGCAATGCAAGCCATGCAAAGCAACCCACCCCAACCTTCTTGGCTCTGGGACAATCCCAGGCTAGGGGTGCACATGGGACCCCCAAGGCAGAAGCCTCCCGGTGCCGCAGCTCTCGAGCAAACCCCTGACTTCCTTGTGCTGATTGGAAGGCTGGAGGCTTCACAGCCTCCACTGACCAACCTCTGTCCTGTACTTGCTGCCAGCCTTGTGCTGCTCTTGGCTGTGCTGCTCCTACTGGCCTGCCAGGGCTCATTCACTAGTGGTTACTGGTGGAGCCACACCACCTTGCCTGCCATCGCCTTCAGACTGTACCTCTCCCCTGCCCTGTACAGCTTTAATGGGTAGGAAATCTGTTGGCCCTGCAGCGGGACAGATGGCCTTGGAGGTGCACCAGGCAGGAGCACACCCACCCCTTCATTAGGGCTTATTTTTGGGGTAGGGCTTATACTAGGCCCACACTTAAAAATCAGGCTGTCTTATTTTTGGGAAAACATGGTAAGTCTATGCTATTACTGTTGCTATTCTTTACCTCATTTTGCATTGGATCTGCTTTTTCTGTTCATCTTAATCCTTTTATTTCATTTTATAACTTTTGAAATGAAGGGTTACTGTACTATTGGTCAATGATCACAATAAAATTTTTCAATTTTATGAAAGATTTGCTTATTCTAAACTAATTTTGTATTCTCAACAAAGACGGCTTATCTGAAATCTATAGTACCATGACTGGAGATACATCAAATCCACTAGCGATAATCGCTTCCTCCTTACCTTCTTTCTGGAAAGCAGTTACTATGGTGATGCTGATTCTGAAGTGTATGATAACAGATTGCAAAGTACAAGACAAGCTTTTTTTTTAAATTCGTTCAGTTGAATTAAATCTTTATCTTCAGAGGATTTATGATCTTTTGTTACAATTTTTCAGGTATAAATTTAGTTGGAATGTTATAAAATTAACCTTAGTTATATTTAGTTTGTTGTAGGCTTAAGGAACTATATATTAAAATCCTAAATGTAAAGTAATTATGCTTAGAAGCTTAAAAAGAAAAACCTCTAATTAGTCATGCCCTATATATGATCTCCTGGCTAGTCTGATTGTTTCTGTGTATGAGTTTAATTAACAAAAGCAGTAATTAACAAAATACTAATCTTTATAATTTATGTATCTTGCCTTTAAACAGGTGAAAAAGCAATAGTTAAATCCCATCATCTCTGAAGCATTCTTAAGAAAAATATATTCAATAAAGTTGCCATTTGCGTAATTGTTTCAAATAACTACCCTGAGATTGGGATCATGGAATGTAGAAAATGCAGAGTGGAAAAAGATGCAGATACATCATCCATCCTGAATGTACCACAAGAAGCAACATGTCTCCAAAAATATGAGGTTGATAATACCTGTAGTGATCTTCAAATGGGACCTGAGTATTCCATTTCAAGCCAGTCATGTTACTTAGATGCCTCATTTTTAAACTTATCAAAAGAAAACCTAATTTCATCAGCCAAAGAAGAATTTACTTATGTCCATAAACAGCAACACAATACTTCAAGTGCAGTGGAAACTACAAATGAAATAAATATTAATACAGAGTTCTCATACTTTAAGAATGAGAGTGCAAACAAATGCAATTATTTTGATGATGACTCTCAGTTAGAATATCACAGTGCTGAAGAACAAGATTATGTTGATTGTGTCTGTTCATATAGGCAGAAAACAGAAAATTCAGAAAGTTTTCAAGAAAAGGAAATGGTAAATGAAAATGATGTTACAGATCAGCAGCCATTGGACAAACCTGAAGATACATTTTCTACATCAAATTGTGTTGTTAAGGATCATTACAATGGCAATGAAATATCAACATTCTCTCAGAAGTTTAAAGATGTCAGTTGTACACAGAACCAGCATATAACTTTAAGTGAAAAAAGAAATGAAAGTCTTAGCATGTTTTATAGTATTATTAAAGATTCATCTCATATTAAGGTTAATAAAAAAAACAATTCAAAATTGTTTTTAACTAGCAAAGCTGAGATGGAAGAAAAGATTAAAGTAAAATTTCTTAATGATACCACACTGAAATCTATTACTGAAGAAATACTTCAGACAAGTGATTATCTAAATAAAACTGGAAATCCAAATATATTATGCCAGGAGAGAAGGTTACTACCTTTTCCTCAGATTTCTCATAATACAGAAGATTCAAATACATGTGCCTACAAACCATCAGTTATAGTTAATAAGGATATCTACAATTCCTGTGAACATTTTGGAAATTGCATTGAGAATTGTTCTAGTTCAGAATTGAAATGCATCGTAAATACATACCATGAATCTGGTAAAAACCAAAGTACAATTAACCAGGCTATTGATGCAACTGCTGACTTTAGAGCTAGTTTTACAACAAGTCGTGCCATTAATGTTAAAAGTCCAGTGGCATCTAAGGCACAAAACACTGTGATAACAATGATGAGTAAATGTAGGCCCAGGGAATGGTTGGCACAAGATTCAGAAATACTGCCTGTAATAGCTGACTGTAGAAGTGTTGCCTGCAATACAGACTGGTCGTATAATATCTCTGGCAATGTGGATATGATTGACTCACAAGTAGCAATATCTGATACGTTGGAAGATTGCATTACTAGTGATGCTACAAAACATGGATGGAAATCGAACTCTGAGGTAATTGAAAAATGCTGGGGCGTTTTATTTAATTACCAAATTATTTCCTTGTATTTCTAATAATTCTGGGTAAACATTATATAAGCTGATATGCTTGTATAAAGAAACTTTCTCAGAACAGCTTTGGAATAATGCTGTAGTCCACAAAACCCCTTTCTCCCCCTCCCCCATTGTGATGGAGAAGTGTTAGGGGTCTGATTGATTTTTAAGAGGAAGACCTTAGTCATATTCATTTTATAGACGCCAATTATATTTGTTTTAAATATTCGTAAAGTACTATAGGTAGTATAAATTATTACCTATTGTATAAATAGTAATTATACATTAAAATACATTTCAACACTTTCTCCCATTCACGTATGCTTCCCAAATAGAAGTGTGGTAAGGAATCTGTTTCTCTAGTAGTTTGAATTTTGGCAAACAGTATTAAAAACATATCCTGGTTTCATTTCGTAGATTTAAGTATCTTCCTCAGAACTTTTTGAAGAAGTCCAGTGAAAACTTTCATGGCAACTATTGTAGGACTATCTTAGAACATAATGGTCAAATACTTAATATAGGATTGATTGAAAATTAATAACTGATGAGAATACTTTAATGTTAGGAGTTACTTGCAGATACATAATTTTTTATACATTGACCTTTCCAGGATCCTTTGGAATGGAGTAATATCACTGGAAAATATTTGAATGAAATTCCATACAGGTATGATCTAAAAAAATGTTTTTCTTTAAAATAACAAATAGTCCTCAACCTATGATCAAATAGTCCTCAACCTATGATCATAATTGAGACTACATTGGTCACAGCAGTTGTTAAGCAAGAAATCACATGTCTGCTTTGCTAAAGAACTGTAATGCTGGCACTTCCAGTTGTGGTTGTTGTTAAGTGAACTTGCAAATTGTCATGCAGATGGAATAAAAGCTGCTTGCCAGAAAGATTCCACTCATGGGACTGAATTCCTCTGAAAGGCAGCCCTTTTTCTCTCAAAGAGGAATAAAAAAGCCATCCCCAAATCCAAATAGGCTTTTGGCATGGAGCGTTTACAGTATGGGGTATTTGCAGCCGATCCCCAGAGAAAAGATTCCTTCTTGTTTCTGGGGACTGGCTGCAAATCCTCCTTGGATTTTGGAATGGACCTTTTTCAGCCAGTCCCCAAAAACTAGAGGGAGGTCTTTTGGCAGCAGCTTGCAACCTTCAACATCACCTATTCCATTCATAGAAGTCCTGTGAACCCAATCTCTTCAAAATTAACAAGATTACAGTTAGATCTGAATTAGTGAATAGTTATATTAGAAACCAAACTGAGTACACCAAAGTAATTTCTTAAAGCTATTCTCAATGCATTAAAATATTACTACACTCATTAAGGGATTTTTTTTCTTTGTCCCTTCAAATTAGTGTTGACTCTTGGTGATCACCTGGACTAAACCTGCAGTTTTCTTGGTAAGGTTTTTTGGAAGTAGTTTGGCCTTACCTGTTTCTAGAGCTGAGGGAGAATGACTGGCCCAGGATCACCCAGCTGGATTTGTATCTAAGTCCAGGACTAGAACCAGTGGTGGTATTCAGCCGATTCACACCGGATCGGGTGAACCGATAGCAAGAATTTGGCGTGGGTCGCAGAACCTGTAGTAAGTTCTGGCTGGCCACGCCCCCCCACCCGGTCACCCTCCTGCCCGATGCTCGCTCAGCCTGCCTGCCTGCCTGACATTCATCTAAGGGATTTCTTTTTTTCCCCTCCCGATAATCAGCTGTAGATAAGATCAGCTGTGCTGAAATTCCCATTGCTGGGGCCCAGGAAGGCAAAAAATGGAGAGAGGAGCTAAGCCCCCCCTCCATTTTTTGCCTTCCAGAGCCCCAAAGGAGCCTTAGGGGAGCAAAAACGCCCAGAGGCTCCTCCCCAGAGGCTCTTTTGAGGCTAGGAAGCTCCCAAAACGGAGCTTGGAGGGGTGCTGCATGCCCCTCCCATGCTTTGTTCCTTTTCTTCCTGAGCCCCAGAGGAGCCTTAGGGGAGCAAAAATGCCCCCCTCAGAAGCTCTTCTGAGGCTAGGAAGCTCCCAAAATGGAGCTTGGAGGGGTGCTGCGTGCCCCTCCCATGCTCTGTTCCTTTCCCTGAGCCCCAGAGGAACCTTAGGGGAGCCAAAACGGCCCCCCAGAGGCTCCTCTGGCTAAGAAGCTCCCCAAAACAGGTGGGGGCTGCAAAAAAAGCCATGCCCACCCAGTCACATGGCCACTCCACCAAGCCACGCCCACAGAACCGGTAGTAAAAGTTTTTGAATCCTACCACTGACTAGAATTCACTATCTCAAATTTTCTAGCCTGGTGCCTGAAATCACTGCCCCAAACTGGTTTCTATCATTGAAGGGATAGCTGACAGAAACGAAGAAAAAGAAAATACATTTCTTATTAGTCCATATTTCTTGGTATTAATATTAACTAACATTTCTATTTGAAAGGATGATGCAACTATCAAAAGAAATAAGTTGTTTGCCAAACTGTTGTAAAGAAACACTACAGACAGCCATCAAAGCTGAAACTGAGCTTTTAAACCTTCGTTATCAGATGTTTTATCAGCACTGCTGGCAGACTTGTAGACTTTTTATGAAAGAAAAGGAAAATATAAGCAGGTTTGTAAGAAATTATGTTTAAAATAAATATGTTATATATAGAAGACACAACTTCAGGTATAAAAATAATACCCATTATATTATTCCAGAAAGGAGGTGCACTAAAGGATTACACCATTAGTTGTATAATTTTCTCAGGTTGTGGGTATGCTTGATATTTAAATGTCCCATTGCCACAAAATTAACCTCTTCCTGACTTTCACTTTTGTTTTCCCCCCACATCAGCTATACAGCTTTTTCCCATTTTTGTTTCCTTCTCTGCAAGTTTTATATCTTTAACCTGCCATCTCTAATTGTTGGTATTATTCCTTTAATAATAATGTCTGGGTTCTATAAATAATTTAAGAAAATGAAAATGGTCATGGTCAGAAACCGAAGTTTTATATGAAGTTATTTCAGTCATCCCTCTTTTTTTCCTAGCATTCCATTCAAATGAGCTTTCCAGGAAGCTAAGGCAGTTATCTAAAGGATTGTATGATTCCTGAAGGATACTTTCAGAATCCTTTACACTCTTTGGTTCCAAGATTAACTAGTTATTTCTCAGCATAGAACATACTTTCCAGTTCTTTGAGTATTCAGTATGCAAAATGCAGCCAATGTAGTCCTGGCTGCATCATCAGAGAGATAGCATCAAGATCACAAGAAGTGATAGTTCTGTTGTATACTATAGTGAAGCTACATTTGGAATACTGTATCCAGTTGTGGTCACTACAATACAAAAAGATACTGTGACTTTAGAAAGAGTGCAGAGAAGAGCAATAAACATGACAAGGGTCTGGAGATTGAAGCATAAGACTTTTAAGCACTTAAAAGTCTGCTCAAAACTAGATGCATTTCTTTAGGTAGACTAACCAAAGCGTAAAGTGGATTAACTTTCTGTTATTTGAAAATTATTTTATTTCATTTATCTATTTGTATCCTGCCTTTATTGTTTTTACAAATAACAGGCTGAACATATGCAACATATATTTCTCTTCCTATTTTCTCCACAACAACAACCCTGTAAGGTGGATTGGGCTGACAGAGAGTGACTAACCCAAAATCACCTAGCGGACTTTTATGACTAAGGAGGACCTGAATTCATGTTCTCTGAATTTTTAGCCTGGTACCTTAACCACTAGACCAGGGTTATCAAACTCAAGGCCCATGGGGTGCTTAGATCTGCTCCGCAGGGCCACCCTGGAAACAGCAAAGGACCCGTGGTGTCTCTGCCAGCGGAAACAGAGCTCGGGGGACCACACTCGAGCTCCATTTTCACTGGCAAAGGGCTGCAGGATGCTGTCGTGGCCGAAAACAGGATCCCCCGAGCTCTGTTTTTACTGGCAGAGGCTGTAGGAGGCCATTGTGGCCGAAAACAGGGCCCGGGTCAAACACAACCCTGATGCGGCCCTCAATGTAATAGAATTTGACAACCTTGCACTAGACCAAACTTCACTTTATATTGCCTCACATTCATGTTTAATCAGTTACTATTACAAGATCTTTTTCACAAATGGTATAGTCAAGCTAGGTATTCCAAATAGTTTTGGAAATTAAATTAATAAATAATAAAATAAATGAACACTATTCATCTAGTTCTGGAAATTAGAATTCAATCAGGAAATATGGAATAATGAGGCTAAACACTCTTTCTCTAAAAAGGTACTGATCTTCCTTGATATTTCAGGTATATATTATTTTGTAAGAACAACTAAATGTATTTACATACTTAAATACATTTCACATAAATTTTAAAATATGTTTTATATATTTGAAAGAATGGATGCAATTTATTCCTGAAAGGAAAGGTTTCAATAAAAATGTAATTTAAGGCAAGATTAGTAAGAAAACTGGTTGGAAAATATTTTGTCTACCTATGGAAATACTGCATTTATTTAATATTCTGTCTTAATTTTTAGTTCACCACTTGGAACCAGAAAATCGGTGTCAGAAATGTTATTGTCACAAGATAATGAAGTATCTTTACTGCACTTAGTGAGTTGGGACTTGGGTTTTTTGCATAGTTACTTCATTACTTTGAGTTTGTGGTCTTTTAAAGTTAAGTATTTGAATGCAAATTCAAAAATAGAACACATTTTAGTATCCATACCTCAAAGCATATACGTATTATGTAATATATATTGTTATATTTTGAACATGGATATAATAAACTTGGCTAATATATACTAATTCATTTTTTGTTTCAAACTGTTCAATTTCTAAAGTAATATTCAATGAATGAATGAAATTTAATTAGCAAAAGCAATTCAAGTTTCTATTGTGATAATTCTGAGGAAAATTCTCAGGAAAATATTATGTAAGCCAAAGTATCACTGAAAGTATCACTGAAAACAAAATTCAGCATAGGCTTTTTAATAGATTACATCTCAAAAGAATGAAAACAGTGATTCTCATCTGTGCCTTTCCAAGATAGAGGAGAAAGAAAACAGTCTTGAAGAGAAAAGTAAGTTCAACTTGTTTCTTTAAATTACTTGGAGCTAAATCAATACTCAATGCACGTCCTATAATGTAGATGTAATATGTGTTCAAACATCAAGAATCAGTTAAAACATAGGTTTCTGCCTTCTGGAGTAATTGTAATTTCAGAATACTTTTTTCATGTATTCCTGTGCAAAGTATTTTATAATATTATAGTAATCTATGTAGATGGTTGTAGATCACATGCTATTGTCACCTGGTCTTCTGTGCAGATTAGGAAACAGCCAGGATGAACAAAGACTCTGGCCACTGCCTACTCCTGTTGCTAAAGCAGGAGTCATGAGTCCAAATCCTCAAATGATAAACCTGATCTTGAATAGGTAGTTTCTCTCTGTCCAGAATTATACTGGTGCTGAAGGAGACACTCATTGTACCAACCTGTGTTGCTTGGGTGCAATTTGAGCCATTTATACCTTGCCATCAACATATCAACAGCATTCCCTTCACAACCAAGGATAGCAATATATAGCTGTGTGTCATCAACATATCCCAATGTTGGGATAACTGCCTAGAATTGCTTCAATAGTGAAATGGGAGGCATATGAATTTAGTAAATAAATAAGCAAAGCAAATAAATATATTGTCACAGATTCACGTGTTCAGTCCTTCATTCAGTGCGATAGCCAGTGAGAAAGGAACTACTTAATTCCTTCTTTGCCTCTGTGTACATGCAAAGAGAAAAAATAGTCTTACCTACCAAAAGCAGCACAGTGGGAAACCGAATAGGAATGTAGGTCAAAATAGACAGGAAAATGGTAAAAAAAAAACACCTATCCACTCTATACAAGTTCAAATCACCAAGACCAGATGGTTTACATCCCAGGGTTCTGAAGGACCTGGCGGATGTGATCTCAGAAGTACTGAGCAAAATCTTTCACTGCTCTTGGAGCACAGGGGAACTGCTAGATGACTGAAAAAGAGCTGGTGTCGTTCTAGTGTATAAAAAAGGGGATCTGGGAGTCCACAGACCAATTAGCTTGACATTAATAATTACAGAAATCCTGGAAAAGATAAACAGGTTTGTAAGCATCTAGAAATGAACAAAGATTAACAGAAAGCAGCACAGTTTGTTAAAAACAGACCATGTCAGATAAACCTTATAATATATCCATAACACATCCCTGATAGACTAATTTAGTCACTCTATCAAAGGAAGCAATAACAGAACAATGAAGGGACCTTGGAGATCTTCAACCCCTTGCTCAAGTGCTATATTATTTTAGACAAACGGCTGTTCAATCTGTTTTTTAAAAACTTCCAGTGTTAATATTGCCTCCCCAACTTTGCATCATCTGCAATTTGATGAGCATTCTTTCAAACTCTTCATCTAGGTTGTTTATGAAGATGTTGAAGAGCACTGGACCTAAGGAGAACCTTAAAGTACCCACCTGCACGCTTCCTTCCACATAGTTGTAGTTCCGTTGAGAGCCACACGCTGAGCATGGTTTTCCACCTAATTGCAGAGCTATTGGCAATGATATTATCTCACATTGCTTTATCTTAACTAAGAAGTACACTGTGGTCTACTTTATCAAAAGTCTTACCAAAATCTATATCCACAGCATTTCCATGGTCCTAGTCATTTTATCGAAGGCAATAACTTTTGTTTTGCATGGCCTGTTCTTCAACAAACCCACAGTTGCTTCTATTAATCACCATTTGTAAATGCTCACAAATCTGCTTGATTACATTTTATAGAATTTTCACATGTATCAATGTCAAGCTGACTGGTCTGTAGTTTCTTGGATCCATCCTCCCTTCCACCTCCCCCCCATTTTTTAAGATTTGAAGCACATCAACTCTTTTCCAGTTCTCCGGCAGTTTCCCTGTGCTACAGGAGCTCTGAAAGATTTCATTCAGTAGTTCCAAGATCTGCCATTCTTTCAGTACCTTGGGGTATAAACCATCCAATCCAGGATACTTTAACTCATTCAGATAAGCTAGGTGTTCTCTTACCAATTCCTCACCTATTTAGTTAGGATCAACACCCAGAAAGAGGATGCGTGGGAGCAATAAGAATTATGACAGAGACTTCTTTGCAACTTATGCTGATGCAACCTCTGAGAGCATACTCATTTGTTTACTTTTAATTATTATTGTAAGGTTCTTTAAATACACAAGAAATCAGTGAAGAATGGTTAGATGCTACAGAGAACCTAACAACACTGGAGTCATCAGTTTTGTGTGCCAACACGCTAGAGAGGTCTCCAAAAGGTCAGTACTGATTTTGCATTGGTTTGGAATAATGCAGATAGTGCTGTAAATTTTGATTGCTTTTTTCCCTGGAAGTATAGGAAAGCCCTTTTTTGTTGTCTTTTGGGTGATCCTGTGCATAGACTTGTCCCTGTAGAAAGTGTTTTTAGAGATTTTATTTGAGAGTTAATGCTTATCTCTTACCTCAAGGGAAAAAGTGTATATTAATTTATATATTGAGAAATTTTGTTTTCTCCTACAAGATGAACTATAAAGGAAAGTAAAAGTAAGTACAAAATAATCTATCCATTTTTGTTTTTTATTTGTTAGCTAACTGCACCATTCTCAATTTATATTTCTTTAGATGTCAGAACTGCCATCATACGCTAAGTTTTGCATTTGCTAGCTGCCTGTCAGCCATGGATATGGGAAGAGAAACTAGATGTGAGGGTGGGGGGAGTGTCTTCCAAAAATACCATCTCAAGGTCAAAGCTATGGAAATGAAATGTAATGACTAATCAGCCAGCCCATTGTTGAAGAAACAGTTACCAAAACAATCTATTCAAATATAATTGGACAATAAGGGACTATCGGGCACGAACTGGGGAGGAACTGGACAGGGAAAGTTAACTGGGAAAATTTGGCACGTGAATCTTTAATTCTGGCTTTGCTATACAAACATCTAAGAAAAGCGAGCCTAAAGAAGAAAACAAATACACCCAAATTGGACAAATAGAAAACAAGCATCTACCATAAAAATGACCCTATCTATGAACCTAAAAAGGAAGACTGATGGAAACATGTCATTTTTAGAAGAAAACAAGAGTAAATCCCTTCTATCTACCCTAGCCCACTCCAATGAAGCCCTTCTGAAACTGAACAATTGCTTTCAGAGTATCCCCGTGTGTGGTAATATATTTTATTAATCATTTTATCATTTTCTGTAAGGCCTTTGTATAACTAGCAGTAAGTCTAGGAGATGTGGGCATTCTTGGTGGGGGTAGGAGTATCTTTGCTCAGAGTGCCTCATTCTGTTTTGATTCTGCCAGTTTAGAAGGAATAGGAAAATGGGTGAAAGTTCAAGGTACAAGGTACACAGTTGTGCTTTCTCATGGGACTTTCCAAACTTTCCCATGAGACTTTCCGTGGCTGTATGATCTCATCCTAGCAAGGTAACATCTGGGACTTTCCAAGATTGTGTGTTCTCATGCTGGTGAAGTAATCTCCTGTTGAGGTCATTGTTTTCTGAATATGCATACTGTATATTTTGCTTGTGTTTTTTCTCAATAAATACTGCTACCTGAGTTCTCTCAGGGTTGGCATTTTCTCAGAGACAGTTCCCTGTGTCTCATTTCAAATGTCAATCCACCATACCCGTGGAAGAAAATAAGTAGACATCCGTAAAAGCAGTCATCAATACTTTTTAAAAAAGAGGCAAAACCCATCATTCCTGTGATAGGAAGAAAAGTATTCCAGACTTCCGTAGGGGAAAAAAGATGAGCATTGGTGATAGGAGATTCAATTCTTAGGGGAACAGAAACTAGTCTGCAGACCAGATAATCAAACTAAAGGCAGGTATTTTGCTCTCTAGAGCAAAAATCAAAGATGTAACTGAGAATCTTACTAAAATAATCAAATCCATGGATTACTACCCTCTTCTACAAGTAGAGATCAATGACACAACAATGAATTGGAAAACAATAATGAGATTATGAAAAGCTAGGGAAGAAAGTTAAATAGGAGCACAGGGAAGAAGGCGGAGCCTCCTCGCTGACGGACCGTAGTTCGCGATTCTCTGCGGCTATGGTCCGTGCTCTTTCATTGGAGAGCCCTGATCATTATGTTTAGGGGCTGAAGCTACCTTGGAGAGGTGGCGGAGTAAGGGGAAGCCGCAAGCCAGGTTGAGGGGAGCCGCATCTCCCCCCCCCATGGGCTTGGTCTTTTTCCCCCCGAAGACGACTGCAGCAGTGGTTTAAAATGGCCACCCCAAAGAGGAGGACTCAGTTGGATTAAGATTTGTACAGGAGGGAAGAAAGGTGGATAACATCTGAACCGGGACAACTGGGCAATACAACTAAAGTACCCCGGGATTAAGGTAACATGGAATTTTTAAGAAAAGAAAAGTGAGCGGTGAAATTACAAAGGGACAGGAAAAAAAAATATTTTTGACAGCTAAGCGGGGCTTCGAACCGGGAAAGGAAGAAGCCGGAACTAAAGATTTAACTAAATTGGACCAAAATATTTTGGGAATAAACAGGCATAAAATAAAGCTGGACTTAAGATTGTCAAAAAATAATAATAATAAAGTTTACAAATTGGAGACTGGACTGTGCTGGAATATTGAGGTTCGAAAAACCCTAAATAAAAAAATAGGGGAAAAAGGTGAAGACTTTGTATAATGGAGAGTGCTACCTTTTGACAAAAACTTGAGCTCAAACAAAAGGGAAAGCATCCTGTTTCTGAATGAACTTGTGTGGATATAACATTAACGAAATATTGAAACAAAGTAAGAATCTTAGAAAGTGAAAGCAGAACCAGAATGAAGAAAAAAGCAAGGAAAGACTGACTGTGGGATTGATTGATGTTTTTGATATAGACCCTGGGCTGGAATAACTGAAAACTTTAGAAAATTGAAAGAAGAAAGAAGGAAAGTAAAAGTGTTTCTTTCTTTCTTTCTTTTTTTTTTGTGGACTTTAATGATCATAAAATATACGACTGTGTAATGATGATATCTTAAAAATATGAGAGAATTACTACCGGAAAGAGGCGAATCACTTTGCTCTGTGTTAGAAAAAATGGCAATGGCAATTGAAGAACAAGAGGAAAGAATTTCAGAGGAGGAGGAGTCGATTCAAGGAGAAGACATTTTAAATAGACAATTAACACAAAGAAAACTACAAAGAAGCGGGGAAAGAAGAAAGGTTAAAAAGTTGAGGTTTAAGAAGGTAATCAAAAGGGGGGATACCTGTGAAGTCGAAAGGCAGAAAGACCCAGCAGAAAAGGGGAAAGGAAGATATTAAGAAAGAGAGGGATATAAACTGGAATGAGAAAAGACATGGGGAAAAGAGGGGGAGGAGAAGCAGTAAGAAACTGGTGCATGAAATAAAGAAATACGGAAATAGTAAAATGTTGAAAAGAAATTGGTTTTTCAGAGATAATGGTTGATGAATTAAAAGGGGATTCTGCAGGGTGACAAGGGGTAATAAGAATATTTCTGCAATTAAAAATATTTAGAAAATAGGGTAATGTAGATACTGATAACTTATTAAAAATCAAGGGGGAAAAATATGCTGCGGAATCCAAATGAAAAGATGTAATGATTATTATTGTAACTTCTTAAAAATAATGGTTTATTGGGAATCAAGATGAGGGAATAAAGGTATATTTTAATCATTAAGGTGTCACACTCAAAACAGTAAAAGGGGGGAAACCTATACTTGCTTTTTTTTTAGTGTTAAAATTTGTATTAATCTAGAATTTATAAAAAGAATGTGTAATGGAAAGGGAATATGACAGACTAAAGAACCAACTAAATTAAAAAGTTAATATAGACTATTAAAAGCAAGGAGAGACATTGGTAACATTATTATTATTATTATTATTATTATTATTATTATTATTATTATTAT